TAATTCTTTTAAATCCAATAAATTCTTTAAAACTATCCACTAACAACAACAACGTCTATTATTATTATTTTCTTAGGGTCGACAAATTGCTTGTTTTTATTATCGTGTAGAATTTCGCGATTTCTTTATTGCTGATGTTTTGAACAGTTTATCGTATTCCTTTACTACTATGAGACTCTTAACGTGTATATGTAAGTATAATTAATTGATTAATTAATAATTGTTTCCTTTAATGTTTTATGCTAATTTCTTTTTAATTTTAAAATATATAAGTTAACGAAGATTGTAATGATACTTTAACGATATTCGTTCCATTACTTGGTATGATCCCTGCTACCATACGTATGATTCATTGTTTAAGACGTTACCATGACACCAGAAAAGTCTTTCCTCATTTGATCAATGCTTTGAAATATTTATCTACTATGATCCCATTATGGGCTTTATATTTTGATCGTATACAAGGTAATTGATTTATTATTGAATAGAATCATTAATATTACTAAACTGTTAGTATGTTAAATCAACTTTAGTCATGACTATTGTTACTAAACTAAGATTTTACATCTTTACGCTGATTAATATTAATATATATATTTTTGTAATAAATTTTTAGGCAATCATTTTGTTTATACAACTTGGATCATATCACAAACTATCGCAACATTGTATGCATTTTCATGGGATGTTCTAATGGATTGGTCACTATTCAGTTTACAAAGTGAAAATTATTTATTAAGGGATCATTTAGTTTACAATGAAAATTGGATTTATTATGCTGGAATTGCAGTAAATTTCTTTTTGAGATCAAGTTGGGTTTTTATTTTAATATTTCCCAATGATTACGTAAATGTCGCACTCTTTATTGCAATTGGTGAAATTATCAGAAGATGGATATGGAATTTCTTTAGAGTTGAAAATGAGGTATATAAGCTTTTTTTTTTATTTCTATTGTGCAGTAGGTTGATAATAAATATAATAATAAATATATATAAATATATTTTAATTCTTAGCATGTTAATAATTGTGGGCAATTCCGTGCTATTAAAGACGTGCCGTTACCATTCGAAGTTGCGCCAATTCAGATAAAGATCGGAGAAGAAATAATAAATTCTGATTCAAAAACCGATTCAGTCGACGATATGATTATTGACGATAAAGAGAGTCCGGTATCAACAAACTGGTTGGTTAATTTGATTAGGTCGAATCGAGCCAACGGAACCAGCAAGAAAGATGATTGGAAGGATTTCGAAGCTAGTAAAAAAGAAAATCAATATAGCGAAGATGATGACGATGATTATTATGCCGATGACTATGATAATCCTATACTTGCCTCAAATCAAATCTTATCTAGACGACTTGTTATGACTAGATTAGGCGGTGATACAAGCTACTCTAGTAGAAGATTGCCAATATATTCTTGATTTCTGGCAGAACATTTAAATACGTGTGTGTGTGTGTGTTGTCTATTGTTATTATTATTATTCGTAGATATTTATATATTTATCGATTAAAATTTATTCATTCATTTAATTTAACTTGATATGATTAAAATAATTTTTTTTTTTATGTATAAAAAAATGTATTATTTCCATTTGGAAATTTTTTTAATAATAAAATATGAAATGAGGAAATTTAGATTTTTCTTTTTTTATTTAAAGAATATATATGTGCTTGTTTTAGAATCAACAATCTTTTCGGAATTTCGTCATCATCCATGAACAATTGATACATGAAAGGACCTCCATCCTATTTTGTAAGATCAGTCAGTCATTATTACATATATACAAGTATATATACAATGACCCAGATAATGCGCGTATTAACTACCATCAAAATAAATTATCAACAAACTTTTTCTATAATTATTCATGAACATAAATCTAAGTCTTCACTACAATATAATAATTAAAGGAAAAATTTTTTTTTTAATTTCGCTTCTTTAATAATTAGGTAAGTGTTATAGTTCACTAATTCGTAACGAATGTAGCGTTAGCACTAGTATTTCGGAATTTAACTATCTTTTTTCTTCAAGCTAAGGTTATTTGCAAGAAGCAAATTAATTAATTTCAAATTACCAACACGCCCGGAAGGAAGGATGAGATCGTTAGTGATTCTGTCTCAAAGAGTCAGGGTACCTAGAGCTACCAGCATAAATTTAACCAATTTGTATTTGTTGCATTCCATATGGTGAAATAAAGTTAGCATATATTACGAAGAAAGTTCTTGAGGCATATTTTATATAACCTTATGTTGTGGTCAATAAAACAATAATCGAGTTTTATATTTTACTTTTAATCTTATCAGAAATATTACAACATTGATGAGTTGGATCTATTAATAAAGAATTATTGCCAATGTGAGTGATGTTATACCATACAACAAATGATGTTTCCACCACCACAATGAATTCAACAATGCTGCATTCGTTATATGGGGCTTTATAAAATAAGAGAATTAAAAGAAAAAGTCAACGATTACAAATGTGGCTTTAAAAATAATGATAAAGAAAAAAGAAAATATATATATATATATCAAAAATAATTTTCTTCTCTGAAACAAGAATTAAAAATTTATAATTTTCATTGATATAATTGAATAAATTTATAGCAGATATCAATAAATCATCCATTGATAGATAATTCAACAATTTAATTTCATCAATTCTTTTCAATATCTTCTTTTCCTTCACTATTATTACTAGAATCTAGTGTTTATTTATTAATGAATTAAAAAATGGGAATAAAAAAGATTGTTGGTAATAGTTAATGGATAATAACTTCCAATTAATTAATTAATAATGAAATTTTATTCACCTTTCTTAAAATCAACATTTGGGAGAAAAGAGTCACAATCAAGATCATTTAATGAACTATCGTTACTTATATAACTTTTTAAGCTTTTTGATTTAGCAATTTCACCATTTAATATTCTACTTTTCCGATATGCATTTGGATGTGCTTTATGTACTTGTAGTGAATTACTACTACTATTACTATTATTATAATTATTATAATTCTGAACTTCTTTTAATTTATTATCAGCAAAATTCAAAAGCTCTTCGGAAGTTGGTCTTTTTGATGGATCTTCATCCCAACACTTCTGCATCATTTGCACATAATCATCAGGCATTCCAGGTAGTATTGGTGGTCGTAAACCTTCCTCACATATATCAAAAATCAAACAATGATTGTGAGCTCTATCATCAAATGGTGGATGTCCTGCAAATATTTCCCACATTAACATCCCAACACTATAAATATCTGTTTCTTTTGTGTTCTTTGCATTGATTTTACCCCTAAGTAGCTCAGGTGCAACATATGATACAATTCCATAGACTTTATCTGATGATTTTTCATCAACTGGCCCACATAATCCTAAATCTGTAACATAACAATTACCTCCTTGAACAAGTATATTACCACTATGTAAATCACAGTGGATTAAATCTTTCTGATGTATCTGGTGTAATGCATTACATAAATAATCAAAGATTGTAATTCTATCTTTTAATGTTAAATTTAAATGATTTTTATGTAAATGTTTTCTTAAATTTCCACCTTGTAAATAATTTAAAACCATTGCATAATTTCCATTATCTGGAAATTTAGTTATACCATGACAAATAACAATCATTCCTGATTTAATTTTACAATAATTAATTGCCTGAAAATAAATATAAAATCAATTAATATTATGATTTACTTTTGATTTAAATAAAAACCACCAACCTCATCAAAAAATTCTTTGTTTGGATTACTTGAATTATTTAATTTTTTTAATGCTATTTTTTGCTTTCCAAAATAACTAAACTTTTTTTCCTTTTCATCATAACCAATTATATAACCTCTTTTCCATTCAGCAGTATAAATTGAACTAAATCCACCTTCAGTTAATTTTTCTACATCTTCAAATTGCTCATAAGGTATCCATTCTAAAATGTAGTTTGGTAAAGATAATTTCATTTGACATTGTTTAATAAAGTTGTCAATTGTGTCATTTCCAGATGTCCAAGCGGTGAAAAGACTCTGTAATTGTAAACTAATACAACCTTCACAGAACCTATCAGAGTATTTTTTCAATTTACACTTGTTACATTTTTTCGGTTTTCCTTCTTTATACGTTGCATTATTTAATTCTAAATCATAAATAAACTTTTCTTTACAAAAAAATTTTTCAACTTCTGAAAGCTCCTCCTCTTTTTCAACTAATGAAAAAAAAAAATTTTTTCTGTCTTCACCACAACTATCACAGCTGTGCATTTCATTAAATTTTTTAAGTACAAATTCCTTCCTTTCTGGTAATAATAATTTATCATGTGACATTATATAAATGTTTTTAAAAGAAGAATAATAGATTTTTTAAATTTATTCTTTACATTAGAGAGGGAGGGATGTTCAAAGTTGTTGTACATTCATTATTATTAGGTAATGGAAATCGAGGTAGGACCCTGGATTGTCATACATAATTGAATGGGGTGAGATGTCCTAAGCATAATTAAAAATCTATTTTCAAACTTATTCAAAACAACAAAGATGATCAACAATTTATATGTAAAGAGTATTGTAAAATTGAAAAAATGCCCACTTAAAAAATGGTATACCACCGCTTATTTACATCACCTCAAATTTTGTATGATTATACTAATAAGGTATAAACACATAAGCTAATATGGGAATTGGTTCTACTTATCAAACAGTATATAATAATTAGAAAAATAGTAAAGAAACATGAATTGACTGTCAAGAGTTATATTAAGGAATTTTTTCACAATCTATTAATTGTCAACATTGATGACTATCATAATTTACACAGTACAAGTGTGTCAAGTGTAACTTTTATATCACAAATTGCTCATATGGCAACAATTTTATTTAACAATAAAAATGTAGCTCCCATTCCATATTATTCAAATAATAATCATCTAATTCACAATCATAATGGTGTTAATGTTTTAATTCTTAAAAATGCTATGGCAATTTATTCAATGTATTATAAACATGATTGAAAATGAGCTTATAGAATCTTTGACTGTGCATTCATATGATCCAGATGTTTATGAAAAATACAGAAGAAAATTCACCATGACAAAACTAGTTGACCTCATTGAATTGAATTTAAAAAATACCAATGATTATCTGCAAGCAATAAAAACATTTATTGGGTTACCTGAAATACAAGTATACTTGTATAATAATGTGATATTTATTCCAGCTGATTTTCCTGGCCAACTATATATTTGTCGAGCTATTGTTAAAAAACTAAAAAATGAAAATGAAACAAGCATTCCAGAAAAAATTACTCATTTGTTTCCTTTCCTTGGTCCACTACATCTTGCTCTAAATACAAAAGAATCTGTTTTTTTGACCTTCTGGCCATTTTTTGATCAATTATATAGAAGTATTTTTAACAAGAAACATAAATTAGCTGCAAAGCCAAAACCTTGGAGAATAGATACATTGATGTATCTTGCTCATGCAGGCTGGGAATTAGTTAGAAGATTTGTGGTTGAAAAATTCAAATTCTCAAAAACTCCACAATATGTAACATTTTTTGATCTATTAGATAATTTGGTGCCTGCAACTTTGGATATATATAATATCCTTTTTCGACAGAATCACTTCCAAGAGTATGTCAGCACAGTATTTCGCTTGTGGACTGTAATGAAACGTTTCCACTGTCATAATTATGATAAAATTACACTGGCCTTTTTATCAGATATTCATTATTGGATGCAGATAGAACATCCTGTAATTGACACACTCAAGAACAACCTAAATATATTTGATGAATACCCAGTGGAAAATTTCCACAGCCTATTGAGAAGGCAGACTACTGCAAAGGTATCTACTGCAAAATCATTGAGACGTGATGCACTTTTTATAGACCATTTTCATCATGAGAATTCTCTTGGAGCTGCCTTCTCACCAAAGCAAAATTATCCATACAGTAAAAAGGATTTAGATTTTTTGGTTAAGAAAACTGCCTTGTTCTTGTTAGACTTTTTTGATGAAGTTTGGAAAAACAATGGATTAGTTGAGGAAAGAATGGAAGGAAAAAGAATAAAAAAGCCCTATTACTATTTTCAAAATCTTAAATCAGGATTTCCTATTGGAGCCTTACCACTTGGTTTTCATACACCAGTGCCACCAAGTCAAGAGAATTTTTGTGATAGAATTGAATGTACTAATAGGTCAATAGAAAGTAGTCATGTGTTAGTCTGTGGTCATGCCTATCATGAAAGTTGCTTCGAGATAATTAACAGAAGGTGCCATTATTGTTTCATGTATTTATCTAAAGCAATTGATGAGTTAACAAGCTCTTACAATCAAAGATTGCACATGGAAGAGGATATAAATAATGAATTATTTTCTGAAAATAATATACAAAACACAAATCCAGACTTTGAAGATGCAGACCATATGGGGCATACTGCAACAAAACCAGACAAAGTGAACATTGATATTACCAAGATTTTCAGGGATCAATAATGTTTAACATCACAATTGTATTGCCAATGTAACATGATCATGATATTTGTCTAGACAAAAATAGTTAATATGAAACTCATTTATATCAGATCTACTATGGAACCCAAGAATTATAGTACCATTAGAAGTATTTTAAAAAAGGAACAAGGGGAAAAGATTGCTCCTTACATTTTTAAAATAAATGATACTCAGACATTGGAAGCTTATCTAAGAAAAGAAAAGATTACTTATGAAATTTACCAAGAAGAAAGAAAAATAATAAATGTTAAAAAAAGAAAGCATCATGATGATGCATTATTACCTAATAAAAATAATAAAAAGCAAAAATCTTTAAAAGGAAAATAATAACTACCATTTTCTTTGATAGTTGCAATAAATTTCAATTTATAAGAGGAAAGTATTTCTTCAATTACTTTCTTATTTTCAATCAAGATCATCTTTTAGTCTCTTTAACTTCAATTTGAGCAATTTGACCATTCTGTTGTTGCAATTGGGTTAATTGAACTTTTAAATCATTGATTTCCTTTTCTTTAACACTTAATTTATCAACTAGTTCTTTAGGGGTTAATTTTTTTAATCTTTCTAGTTCAGTCTCCAATTCTTTTATTCTATCCAAAAGTTCTTGCTTTTGCCTCTTACCTCATTCCTCAGACTTTTCTTGAAATTTGACTACTTCTTCCCTTTCAATTTCTAAGGCTTCTTCAGTCTCATTTAGTTGTTCTTGTAGGGAGTTTATTTGTCTTTCATAAAAAGTAGACTGACTTATTTCTTCATTCGGCAAAAGAGGGAGTTCTTTCTCTTCTAGGACTTCATTGTTTCTAATACAGTAGCAAACATTCTTACCAGTAACAATATCAAAATCTAGTTTAGTTTGTAATCTACCACACCTATCGCATTTTAACAATTCATCATTTCAATACTTTTCTTCACACTTTTCACAAACCACATCATCTGAAATCCATTCACCAGTTACTTTAGTACGAGATCTTATTTGATGAACAGACTTATTATCTTTGCCAAAGAGATTAGAGCAAAAATCACAGGTCTTCTTATTTCATTCCTCCAATTCCAAAACTGTGTAATCCAACTCTCTCATTAATTAGACTTAACCTCTAGTTGAGCAATCATTTCTGGGTTGTGAAGTTTTTCTTTTTTGATTAACTTTTGTAATTTTTGAATCTTAACCTGTGTTTTTGCTTTTAATCGTTTAAAAATATTCTGCTTAGTTTCTTCTTCAGTAGGTAAATTAGGTAAAGGTTTATTGTTTAAATAATCTAAAAGTTTCAAACTTTTGTTTTGTGATTCACTATCAGTCAATTGCTTGCCTAGTTTTTCTATTTTTTTATCCTTTTGACCCGACTCTTGCTCTAACTTTTTAACTCGGGCTTCTAGATAAGAAACTTTTTCACTAGTGCTTTTGAGTTTCTTATTTTTCTCTTTAATATCCTCTGCTTGTGCTTTGCTTCATTTTTCCCCAGTTTCTAAGACTTTGTCAACTTGCTCCCGTTCTATTTTAACTCTTTCTTCTAGTTGTTCTACTTCTGCTTCTAAAAACTTAATCTTTTCATCTTTGCCTTCAATGATGTCTTTAAGAATTATGTCTTGAGCTTTTCTGCCCCAAAGTTCTCCATCTTCTTCAACCCGTCTATAAAGAGTAGAGTATTGTTTCCATAAGTTTCAATCCTTTTTCATTTCATTAGCCAACTCAGAACTTTCAAAATGGTCTATGATAATTCTATTCACTAACTTTTCTAGGTTTTCCTTAGCATTTCATTTGTAGTCATTGTAAAGAGAATATTTAAAGCAAAGACCCATGAATGTTTGCCTTAATGGTTTATTAATCAATTCTCTTAAATCTTTTTCAATATTCTTACTACAATGAGGAAAATTATTTCTCATTTCTACTAAAATTTCTTCAACTTTACTTAATGCTTCTTGTCTAAATACTTCTTCTTCTTGCTCAGTTACTTCTGTATTTTTGTAATCGTTGAGTTCTTGATCTTTATCCTCTAGTTGCTTTTTCAATAATTCTAATTCGTTTAATAATTTTTCGCTTTCTTGTTTTTGGATTTCTACAATGTTTACCATGATTTTTGTTAATAAATACTTAATATCTTTCTTGCATTATTAAGTATATAATTATTTTATTAGTTTATTTTTAAATTTTCTATTTGTTGTCAGCATAAATTGGTTTTGGACAAGTAATATCTTTGAATTTATCTCTAATAAATGGACGAATATTATGATAAAGATATTCTTGCCTTTTGTAATCCAAAGGAGGTGGGATTAACACTAAAATAGATAAAGCTCTAATTTCTTCAAAAATATCTGCTTTCTTGATTTTCAATAAATTGAATTCAGCAAAAGGTCCATTAGCAACTTCTTGAACTTTTACTGTACCAAGATTAGATGCTTCAAAAAGAAAATGTTGATATTTCTGTATACTTGGTAACTTCTTAAAATAAATTCCCAAAATAGCTTTAATATCTAAGTATTGAAAACCTCTTCCACCTTCATAACATTGAGATTTGTTCAATCCTGCTGGACTAGACTTTTTTACCACCTCAACCACATGACCCAGACAATCTACTCTTGTTTTCCTATAAAGTTTTTTAATCATGCCAAAATTGCCATCACATTTGAATTTGGTATGTCCTGGAACCATGAAATTTAATTCAATACTTTCATAATAACCACAAATTACCAAATATAAATAAAACCAAATTGTTACATTGTTTTTATTTTGTCCCCCAGCATTATCACAAGTAATCTTTAAATGTTTTTCGCCTTTATTCAATCTCTTAATTCCATCAAAAATCATGCTAAGGGTGCCATTGGGTCCTTTTCCTATAATTTCATTTTCATTAAGAACATAATTAATTTGCACCCTTATTGCTTCATCTTGAATACCAAATAAATGAACTTTACATGGACTATGGTAATAGATTTTACTTACTTGTTGATCTGAATGTGGTATATGAACATTTTGGGCTCAATCATAACTATAATGTGCAGTGGCATTAATACTGCAATATTGTGTTTTATCCTTTGAATAATTTTGGTTAACTAGTTTTCTTTGTTCTTCTGCTAATTTGGTATTTTTATTATAATAATTTCTTTCTAGTTTAGCCTTGGATAGATGTTCTTTAAATCTTTTGAGCAAATTTTTAGCTTCTTCCTCTTGGCAAGCATTATAATGTAAACCATCTCTAAAATGCTGAAAAGTATCACACAAGTCAGTTCTTGGACTCATAATTTGAATCTTTGGTGTCAATTGATGTCATAATTTTCTGAAAGCATCATATTTTAAAGATTTAAATTTGCTATTTCTAAACCAGTTAGGAAATCTCTGTGGACTGATTTATAACTCATTTCAGCTGGTAAGAATACAGTTGATTGAGTTATTCTATTGATATTTCTTCCTAGACTTGGTAATCCATGGACTTCTACATAATTTTCCAGAAAATTCTTTACTATTTCTGCAACATTTTTATCAATCACCATTTTAGTTTTCCATTGAGGCATTCTTTTAATATTACCATGAATTCTTGGTAGAAGACTATTTTTTATCAGATGATTTCTAATGTTTTCAAAATAAGTTCTGCCAATTCCCAACATATTGAGATAGGTTTCTTGACAAAGGGGTGTATTGCGATCCCAGTTATAGAAAGTTCTTTTATTAGATCTAGTTTTCTTCTTAAAGCATCTACTAGTGCTTATTGACCCACCATCCATTGCTTTAAGTTGAGTCATTAAAAATATGCCTTGTTCAGACTTAGAAAGGGTTTGAAAGGATTCCCTTAATTCTGCAAATTCT